CAAGTCCTACACCCACATTCCTATCGCTGGAGACTTTAAGGTGCACGACATAGGAACAAAGGCAACCGACGGTAGCAAGTCTAAAGCCTGCTTGCAAGAGCTCATTGGTAGCGACCTTCTGTACAACGACGTAACCTCTCCAACCATATTTCGAACTGCTAACAAACCGTCGATACTGGAGCTTGTGCTAACTAACGAATAACTCATGGTTGCCGGGATAGTTACACATGCACCACTGGGTCGTATTGATCATATTACTCTACTCTTTGACTATATATGCTTTGCGTAGTACCCTGTCAAGCACTACAAAGTGTTATCAAAGTTTGTTAAGGATACATCTTAGACTTGCTTAACCGAATGCCCCCCAGATGGTGCCTGGGTAATATTTACACGGACATTTAACGCGATGGTGACAAACGCATCGGAACAGAAGTTCTTCCAACTCAAAAACAAGCATAAGTCATTTATGAGGAGCGGAATATGCAAATGTATGTCCAGGAGGGATTTGGCATGGTGAGATCACCAGGACTGCTCAGATGCCGAAGCCTGGACTGAATACGTAACGCATCGTAAGTTTCGTGTGAAACTGATCCGCGAAGACAAGGCCACGCATCAACAGAAGTTAATGAAGCGATTCTGCAAGAACAGCAAACGTCTGTACAGGCACGTTAACGGCTTTCGAAATATGAAGCGGGGTTTCCAGCCCTAATCACGGTTGATGGGTGCAGACGATCAGCAATGGATACAGCTTATCCCCTACGGCTTCATTACTCCCAAACTTTCCAGCAGGTAACAAGCCCACATATTCGCCTCATTTCTAAACCTCCACTATTTCGTTTAGACAACATCAAGTTCGCTGCGAAGCAGTGTTGAAGAAGTTGTTATCCTTGCATATCCACGATCACTCTGGAGTCGAAAACCTCTGACCATATGCTCTACAGGCCGTAGTTATTGATTTAGAAGTTATCCATCAGCTGTTATCCATCAGGGTTGTGTAGAGGAGAACCTATTCCACCATCGAAGGGTCATCATTCCTATACATAAAGGAGGTAGCCGCAATAATCCTGGCAACTACCGTCCAATAACCCTACTTCCCCTTACTATCCAAACTGATGGAATCAATCATCGCAGACGCGCTGACGCAGTATCTGGAAAGCCACAACTTAATAGCTCCAGAGCGACATGGCTTTCGTCACACGCGTACGTGTAATACTGACCTAGTTATTGTACATAATAACCGAATTGAAGCTGCTGATTATGGAGTATGGTCGATGTCTTCTACCTGGACTTTTCAAAAGCATTTGGTCGCTTGGCCCATTGAATTCTACTTCAAAACGTTCGGAATTACGGCATTGGCCACCCAATCCTGAATTGGATTAGCAATTTACTGAGAGAGCGACGGCTAGTTCTAAGAGTCGTAGAATCATTTCCTGATACAATCGATGTAGCATGTGGGCTCGGTGCTTGGACCTCGTCTGTTCTTGGTGTTCATTGACAATTTGGCGAGATCCATTGCTTCCGATTTCCTTATTTTTCGCCGATGATATCTAGATATGGCGAAGGATCAGAGGACCGGACGACCATGAACTGCTCCAGTTTGATCTTAATACAGTGTCAAACTGGTCAGTTCAAAATGCCTTACCATTCAACATAGACAAATGTCGCGTTTTACAAGTACGCCATAGACAACTACACTTATTTACTTGTGACAAACGGATTGCAGACCACCTCCCAGGAACGAGACCTTGTTGTGCTCGTACAGTGCGACCTCAACTGTTCAAAACAGGCTGAAGTAGCTGTGAAAAGATTCAACCAGCACTTCGTGCTGGTTGAATCTGCGAAGTGCATTCGGGAGATTCGACCCATCAATCTTTCCAATGATGCGCATTTCTTACGTGCGTCCGCATTTTGAATACGCTATCCAAGCTTGGCAGCCATGGTTGAAGCGCGACCTAGAAGCATTAGAGGCACCACAATGAACAGCAACATATAATGTTACGAGCCTGCGCTGGCATTATTACCACTGAAGGCTGAATTTGCTTAGAATTTTCAGCGGACGCTATCGAAGGCTGCGCGGCGATCTCATATCATACTGAGTGAACACATCCACGTATGCCGCCATTTGCTGAAACTTAGCCCCAACACGCAACTCATGGATAACTGCTTAAAATTGAGGGGTCAATATAGCCGTTTAGAGTGGCGACGGAATTACTTTTCTCTTCAGGTTTACTAACCCTAACTAACACTTCCAGACTCAGTTGTATCCTCTGCTACCTTGGACGTTTCCAAAAGACGATGGTATGTTGCTCTTAGCTCCCAGCATTTTTTACATAAACTCCTCCATTGTGGATTACGCCAGACATGCTTTTCAACAAGATTTATGTACCAAATGGACCCACGTGAGCGACCATATTTTACTTTCCTCACAAATTATATCAACAAAACCTCCACGTCAATATCCTTCTGAAGGTTTACTTTCGGTTTTATTTTAAATTTTACGCTGATGTAGTTTATCGAAGTATTCTTCTAGGAGACCTTCGGTAGATGACCAAGATATATTTTGCTTTCATCATATTCACTCTAACCATCCTACGGGACCTGTCTGGTAATTGATTTTATCCCGTGATAAATCATTGTTCGTTGATCATTGTTAATTGTTCACTTTACGACCGTTTAGCCAATCATATTAGTGCTACAGACTGGCTGTTCCCTGCCAGAGACATCCCTGGAGTTGCTTTACTCGAATTTTTCAATCAATATATTAACTGGTCAGGAATGTCTTAGGTACAATAATTGGCAATGTGTCTAAACCGTTTATTTCGTAAGGAACAGAACACAAAAATAGCTGCCTTTACTCAACTTGGATAACTTGGAAAACTACACTGCTCAACGTATCTACTGCATCCAAGTGCTCAGGGAAGACAAAGCCACGTAGTAGCAGAACATGGCAAACATTTTGGCGTTAACTAAGTACTTCTGTACAAGCATGTTAATGATGTTTGTTAAGTGAGACAGGAAATACCTGCAACCGGACGGTGTATAATCCAATACGAACGGTTTTAGAAGCAACAAACGCATGGGGGACGCCAAATTCCCCACATTTCATAGTATCATACCATCTAGCCTTCTTCCAGTATTTCTTGCCACGCTGCCGGAACCTTGCCACCACTCTTTTAGCGCGGAAGCTCGCTTGTAATATTGTAGTTGTGCTACCATAGCTCCCCTAGTGTAGATGCCATTCGCCAATAGGCACTGTGGGCAACAGTAAGGCATTTAGCAAAACCTTAGACCGAAATACTTTAGCCCCGCTTAGAGCAGAACCATGTTCCTGCCATTAAAATTAAAGGGACATAGCTCCGACTAGCAAATTTGGATGCATGAGTGAGCCCTTAAATTCCGCCCAGTAGCTATTATCCTCTTACCGTACACTATTTGAATCCATCCTTCCCAATGCACCCGTGTGTTATCTGCAAAAGTGCAAAATTATTAATTTCGAGCACTACGGTTTCCAAAGACATTGATCGTGCACAACGAATTAACTAGCCGCCCGGAGCAGTCATACCGAGTGGCTTGTGGCTGGAGAGGCAGTTGATGTTACCTTTTAGGATTTTTTGAAAGCATTTGATTATTTAGATTATTGAAATGCCTTTTCAAGCTCCAATCTTACGGTATCACTTACCCACTCTTGAGCTTGATGGACAACTTACTCCTAAAATGACAATTATAGTTAAGAAACCAGTGCGCCTTAGTTAAAGCCCATAAAATTCGTGTATCGTGTGTCTCAAGACTTAGTTTTATGTCCACGATGGTTTGGTATTTGGCAAAGGAATTGCACACACAATCGCTTCAAAATTCCTACTGTGTGTTGAGAACATCAATATATGCTACAAGATTCAGGAGGAAGCCGATCAGATATTAATTTAGTGTCACCTAGATATGGTACATCAGTAGTCCACCGAAAATCTGGTACTGCTCTACATGAGCGAATGCAAGATCCTCTCCATACTACACCAGACCAGCTCCTGATAAATCTAAGAATGCAAGCACTGCAGCAGTCATCCGTCGAACGCGACCTAAGCGTTTTGTTTTCGGCAATCCAAAAAGACAGCGAACAATGTTATTTTACACGTTGGTTGGCCGCAACGAGAGTTTGGACAAATATACATCTCCATTTTCCTATAGATGTTCAATACATATGTCCGCTGCAATGTCAAATGCACACTTAAAGCCAGGCAACCATAGCTAAATCAAAACCCCACTCCACTAAGCACTTACTTTTTATGCCCAATTTGGGCGTATAAAGTAAGTGGAATGCACAATCTCCCCTACGAGCAGTGTTTACTCAGGTTTGGCAAGCAGATACAGATAGAAGTTCAGTAGATGGCGTATGTGCCAGTTCTGTTGTTTAAGAGCGAGGTTCCGAAATCCAAATATTTTCTTACCTATTTTTGCACAGAGCATTGCGTTGCTATAGCGTGAAACGTGGGTGCCTACGCAAGAAACTCGTTGGTTAATAGGAGTATATAATACCTGTTCTTCCATCAAACTGAGATAAACCAATTTTAATCCGGTTTTACCGTTAAGGTAAAAAGTGAGCTAAAGCAAAGGCATTGGGCATCGTTAGACAGCTAGCCAAGATTTATGTTAAAACAAGTAACCATCAATTTCTCAAGAGGCGCGAAGTTTACAGCACCAAAGTGGTTTAAACCCAGCCCACACAAGTCCTACAATTGCTATTACATGACAGGTGCGTGTGTAGCTGCTACAGAACGAAACTGCTCGTTCAATGGACTTGGACCAACCCAGAATTCACAGTTGCTCTACCATCAATTAAATTACTGTTCGTATGCGCGTGTACCAAATTGTGCTTTTCGGCTACCTAACTGGTGTACAGACATCAAACTAATTCTCGTGTATGTGACACACAAGTCCACCAACTAGAAAAGGTCACTGTCTGGAATGAGCACTGTGGCAAGGATATAAATTAGAGGCGCATCAAAATGGCAGATCGCCTGATCGCTGTGATGTTCACGTCAAAATGCTTACTGTTGCTGGGTACGTCTGTTGATGACCGTGCACTTTATATTCCGATGCTGATTATTCAGCGACGGGACTGTGTAGTCTATGAGTACCATCTAATCCCATTCGATAAATACAGAACCGTTATCTTTAATTGAAATATTCTAATTTGTTATTACGTTGCTCGAAACTTCGAGAAAACTTGATCAAGTTATTTGTAGTAGGCAGACGCATATGTGGGCTGTTGAATTACACCCATTTTGTTAGCATTTTGAAATAAAGTAGCTGCTTCATCCAACGAGTAATGTGTTCATCCCAAAATGTGCCTGAATGTCCGAGCTTCATGCACCTTCGATTGTATAATATTCAAGGTGTACCGATTTAGTGCGACGGATACTGTGGTCCACGCCCCTTATTAAGGCATTCTGAATTACTGTACTGCCAAATCAGTTAATAATGTACACTTCATGGACGCTACCAATTTCTTTCAACAGCAATTACGTTTGCTCCATGCCAACTGGTGATTCAACATGGTGAGTTTACCTCAGTAATTTGGATGTATTTGATTGATCCCTACAAACCCACTGCTGATTGTAAATTCTCCATTGCTTCCGGGGTGTCTAAGTTATTATTTACTTCAAAATTTCATGAAAAATGTAATCAGTATTCTAAACTAGAAGCAGAACTACCAGTGCACAATTTGCTGGCCTAAATAACCAATTCTTGTCTGCAATTTTACCTAAGGAAATAGCGCTTCAATATGTACTTCGTTTCCGCTTGTCCTAACAGTTGTAATGATAAAAGGAGTAATACTCAAGGATGGAAATAGGTTACCACCTACAAGTAAAAAGGAACTGGAAGAAAATTTGGCATCTAGACATGCTGAAGACATCTGCATCAAGGTAAACAGTATTGCATTGTTTTTTCTAGGCGGCGCATAGTAACCACATCACTACAAAAACTGTCTACGAAGATGATAACCTAACCTGCTCAATAAGGCTATTCTATCATTGTGACACATATACTGACCTCATGTCTGGAACTTTGGCCTATGCGTGATAAAATGCGTTCTGGCTAATCGCTCCAATTCAACTAACCAATAAAAAGCGTTATTTACTATGGGATTTCAGCTTCGGTCCTCAATTACATCCAGGACAGGGGTACCATACGATATGGTCGGATGTATATTTTCTTCATTAAGTGTTGCTCCCACTCAGGATCGCGTCATTGTCAACATAGAGAATAAAGGATATGCTGAATTGAAAATGCCTGTAAATGACTTGTTTTCGGAATGTGAAAGGCGGAGAAGTGTCTCGAACATCACCGGCTTAAAACTGCAAGGAAAATACGGTAAATTGTCACAATTGTTGTACTGGTATTTCGACACACTTGCGTCTGCTCTTACCCTAGTTATTTTCGAAAAACAATTGTGTTGCAGCAAGTAGGGACGTAATTTATCGAGATGTCAGGTATTCCGCGGTTAACATCCATTTAATTGGAGTAGATTGAATTCAGGGATTATCACCATTTACACAAGCCTGCTAAAAAGTCATTATTTCAAATGACTTTTGAATTTGTGTTCATTTGGCGAGCCGGCTGTTAACTTTATCCCTTTTGCAGAGGCTGTCATTGACGACCCGTACGCAAGTAAGTTGTTCTAACATATCCAAATACATAGTAATCAATGATAGCTAGACCACACAGGTAAGCGATCAATCCACTTCTCCCCATTTAATTACGCTTCTAGACTTAGTGCGTACCACTGCATTTGCAACCGGACAGACAATACTCCGTAGAAACTGACACGACAATTCTAAGCAACGCATCCCACCTCATCCACCAATGAGCAGTTTAACTTAGCTAACTACTCTTCAGCTTGTATGGCAAGTAATCGCCTGTATTGCTATTGTGATTTCCCCGTTGGCACTAAGACATTTTGTCCAACATAGCAACTGTTTTCCGAAAGGTTTTACTCATGGTAGACCACCATGAACGGTTACTGGGTGAAAGGTGCAGGCCCACCCACGCACGTACATACTGACCACTGCAAAACAAGAGTATTCCTTGCACCATAAACCAATATCTACCGTTTTACGGGAAATTTAGTATGCTTGTAACTTTTACATTCCCGATATTGTCAAACCAATTTAGTCATCTGGATTGCCATGGTATTCGTCGGAGATGATTCAACAGGCGATTGGCTCAGTGAATATGGCAGTGCAACTGAGGTGATGCAAATTGCAAAGACGATCTGCTCGAAAGTAAGCTGTGGTCTTGTTTATTCGTGTACACATTTTGCTGCGGCACTCACGGCGGTAACCCAAAATGAGTGCAAGTCTGTGTTGGTCAAGTAGAATACTCAAACTACCCTACCCAATCGCAAGATACTGCACGGTTAACTAGCAAATACTACAATGTCCATACACAAACTAGCTCACCTAACAGTTTGACTGCTAGTATTCCATTGTTTATGGCTTTGGCTTATTTTCTACAGATTGGGAGAAAAAAATGTGGCATGCCTTGGGTGCTTATCTGACGAAGAAAACAAAATGCGCAGAATAAACACAGGTTTCTCTTCGACACGTTATAGATTCCGTAGGTCATATGCGTACCCACAGTTAAATTTAAAAGCTATGACGTTTACCATTAAATTAATGACAAGATACGGTAGGTTGATTGGTCTTTAAAGTTAAAGAGACCTTTGTTGGTCGAAAGCGGCCTATACGGCTTTGCGTGCCCTTGACTTTAACATAACTGCAATATCCTTTGTTCTTGTTGGCCCAAGGTTGTTCACGTCTGACAGCCAGGTTGATGTGTAGCCAGGAGACCACTAATTTGTGAAAAATATTGGCAAATCATATTAAATCGCTACAGCATAAACCAGAAGCTGTCAGGCATAACAATTTCTTTTGTAATGACTTCAATGTGCTAAGGAAAATATTGTATTTGCTTCACGTGATCACTTTTCTCACCTAGTATGAAAGGCTGGAGAATACGAAGAAAAGCTCGGGCTACAAGAACTTCACGTGCGTTGTAACCGGTCCTCACCGGGGAGCTTTGAAAGGGCAATTTATCTTGCAGTTCGAGACGCGAGAAAGGGAATACATTTTATTAACAAAAGGGGACTTGGAAAAGCGAAACACAGGAACTGGTTATGAAATCACTGACTTGCAACTTGAACACTTATTTGCTGCACGTTAATATGGGTAATAAAAAGTACATTGGCAATCATGGTTGCTGGGCGTTCAAGTTGAACCGATATGCTTTATTTAAAAAGCGTTTTTTAGCCCTATCCATGTACACAAGGAGATTAGCTTCAATTTTTACCCTTTTCTAGTTATGCCTCGCTAAAGTACGATTTGGGTGACAACGAATTTGATAGCATATATATTTATTTATATGGCTGCAGTGCACAATCGACCAAAGTCGGAAGTGCACGGAACATAACCCATTTCACTGAGTTACATGACGACACCATGCTAAGTAGCAGAATTCAAGTATATGCGAATTCAAAAGGGCTTCATACGAAGGGTGTCTGTGTGTCGCCAGAATACAATGGATTTGTCAACTTTGAGGTAACCTATTCACATTGTTCCAAATGGCGTTATCCGCGGTTTGCGGATCTTTCTCAACTAGAGGTAAGAGATCGGAACATTTCCCAAAACTTCTTATGGCTTTGTACTGCGTATTCAGCCATCCTATCTATCAATTGTATGTTTATTCTAGTCCAGTATTACAAACGGTTGTTATCAGAAGTTAAAGGAGGAATGAATGCAAAGGTTACTACTTTGGAAGCCAGCAGGCTTCAGGCGAGTATAGTGCCCTTTAAGCAAAGCATTGGCGCACAGTTTGTTTAGCACAAACAAAGGGCAGCAATGTCTACCTTGAGTTGTGTCCTTTAACTATGAGAGTAATTTAGGTAAAGAAGACTGCGGCCCCGACACGCAAGCGATATTAATGACATCGAAGATTAGCCACTAGCTGATAAGTGTTATCGTTAAAGTTCCTATGGTCTTAGCAAATTATTTCATTAGCAAGGAAAAGGTAGCCGAAAATCAGTATTCGGCATCCAAATTTTACGTGTTACTGCTCGAGTGTAAAACTTCAGGGAATTCAGTTACGTGTGCGAAGATTACAGCAATGTTCACTGAATTGCCACACTCACAGTCACCTCTGATGCAAGTACAGCTAAAACGGACAGACAGAAAAATGATGGATCAAAAGTACTTGTCTTAAAGCAAGGATCAACGATCATTTAGCCATATATCTCAACAAAGGGATACACTGTTAACGTCCGAAATGGTATGTGCCCAAGTGTCCTCGAATTTACCGCATCACATGGCGGAGTAGATTGTCTGATACCTAATACCAGTGAACTATTTGTGCATTTTGATAAACTTGTAAGCTTATCTCACAAATCTATTACGAGTTAATTGTCGTCCGAGCTCTGCGCAATATGTTGAACTCAGTTTCTTATGCAATCATTGGAATCAGCCACTGATATAGAAAGCTTTGTGCTGTCTGCAAGTGCATTACATCAAGGATGATAGGAGATAGACATCAGTCATGACCTTCATTAGAGCAAGCAGCAGTCAAAAATAAACATGGCAGAAATACGCAGCAAGCAGGATCGTGTAATCGTAAGATTCATCTATGGTATGCCAGAGATTACGTGCCACACTAAACAAGAGATCGGGAATCGCGATCTGAAAAAATGTTATATGATTGGTAAGTTACTGATAAATCCTTTGTTTAGATAACGTTGAGGCGCGAGCGCCCTCACCAAATCCTAGAATATGCTGCTTTAGTAGCCCTAAACTCTTGGTTCAGTCAGAGCAAACAGCAATAGAAATGTAAGAAGTTGGCGGTGGACCCATTAAGGTTCACCGTCTAGACATCTGTTAAAAGCTGCAGAAGACTTACCAAGACCAGTTTTATAAACTCTTATGAAAGAGAACAAATATGCCTACGATTAAAAACTGCTTTCATTTTATGCTTGTTTGTACGGTTCCGGAGTAGTTCCGGAAAAGAAATAAGATGTACATTTGGCAAACTAACTTGCACGCAAAGTCTAATTTTCCCAACAAATGTGGAATAACGGCCAAAATCACAGCGATGGGCATTATCGAGGAACTGATTTTCTTAGCGTGCTTTGGATCTCTATATACTGCGAAACTGTGCTACATTTGTAACATTGATCAAGGCAGTTTCAATAAGCTGGTCTAACTGAAAGATCGTCAGGTATTTAATCTATGCGTTACCATCGACTTTTCTTCGAATAGGTTAAAAGCTATAATGATGTACGCTGAACTGCCGTTGTCAGACATGTCACTCATTCAAAACGACAAGCTTAAAAACGGATCAGTGGCAAATCTGTATTACCGAGGTGACGTATAGCCCCTTTCAGCGATAGATTGATATTCGCATTTTGCTGATTCTCTCTGGTGCTGCCTGCCTTCAAAAGGCAGACATTGGCCTTATAGTTTTGGTGCACAGCCCCAACTTTGACACACGAAGTGGAACGTAATCTAGCGAGCGCCGTGAAATATACCATAATATATTCATATATTCCTATCCTTAACATGGGATAATTCCTTGTACTTGTGTTAGAAACCACTTTCAGAATTAGAAACCAATTCATATCAGATCGGCAAGAAATCGTTACAAAGGCTTTGCTTTACAAACCAGGCTATATGGAGTTACTCTATTCAAAATATACAACAGGTTATCCGTGCTTTGAGCCTGCCTTTACCAACGATACACATTCAGCTCATGTATTGGATGTTGACTGCCCCTCGAGTTGCAGTGATCATGCAGTCATCATTTTCAGCATCATTTTCTATGTAGAAAAGTGTCATGAGGACTCTAAGATAGTGCACACAGTTACACGCAACGACCGCTTAGCCCAGGTTATCAGTGCGGCAGCCTGCTTGTTCACGACCGAAGATACCCCGGGAGTTGCCTGGCTCGAATTCGTCCGTAAAAGTAATCAACTGGTTAAGAATGTCTGAGGAAAGTTTTTACAATTAGCCTAGAGTCGTTTCATTCGTAAGGAACAGAGCCAGAACCTGGATGCTATTAGGAAATGCAGATATTTGAGATAACTACGCTACCAAACTAACCATTGCACTCAGCTGCTCAGAGAAGACAAAGCCACATAACAGCAGGACCTGAGCAAAATTGTAGCGTTAAACAGAATCTTCCGTACAAGCATCTTAATGACGTTTATTAGGTGGCATCAACAGTAAAGCAACTAGCAGTAGCTTTGGCTCAGTTATTTTAGCCCCGCTTCGAGCAGAACCATGTTCCTATTATGTAAAGTTGTGCCGTCATAATTTCGATTTTTAATGGTGGTTGCGGGGCTGGAACCTCAAACTACCGACCAATATATCTTATTCTTTACTGTCCAAGGCCATGGAACCCTTTGTTTCCTTAGTGCCATCGTGAAATCTGCAGCAGTATTACTTTCGAGCAGCACGGCCTCCTTCGATGATGATCTTGGACAACAATAGAAGAATGGAACATTGGTTTACTACGGGTACAAATAGTCCTGGCTTGACAAGTCCCGTGGGATGTTTTGTGGGAATTCCGTTAGTTCAAACATTTTACTCAAATTGAAAAATATCTGTGGACTCATCCTATTATCCATGATAGCACATAGGTATATCCGTCCACCCCGATTTCGTGGGGTTGGTATGCATAATGATAGTCTAAATCTTGTTATCACGCAATGAATATAAATCAGATAAAGTAATGTAACTAGTGTAAACCGACGTCGATTTGCCTTTGAAAATTATGTATCTTGGGCGCGGAAATGTAAAAAGCAGAACTGGGTTTCACGGTTGACAAACTGGAAGGGAAAAATACTTCCGGCGGCACTCAGTCCGACAGTCTTGGGTGGCAATTTCAATTTATGACCCTAAATGCTGCTTTGCAGGTAAGCCTTAGAAAGTGGCAACAAACAGGACAGTATTTTAATTTCCAGAATACCAGGATGAAATCAACACAAAGACGGCCATATCCTCCGCTGAACACTCCCAGGGCTTTCAGTCGCCTATGGTATTGCAGGTTTGACGAACCCTACCCTTATTTTGTTGCTCTTCGCTTTGCTGTCTGCAGTAAGACAATGTGGCTGCTTAACCAGTTGCTAAACCTGGATCGTGTATTCTCCAAGTGGCTTCACGTACGCATTGAGCGTTGTTGGAAAGATGGATGGATCGAAGCTTCCGAAAGTCCACCATAACAGACCAACTTTCGGTTTGCGGCTTTGGACGCCTTCAAGAACTTGGCAAAACAGCCGAAGTAGTCTTGGATGGATACCCCAATGTCTCGCTCTTGTGAGGCGCTTTTCAGGATGTTGTCTCTAAGCTTATATGCATACGTGAACTTTTGGCTGACAAGCAAGCAGTGTATTTGTCCGCGTTAAAAGCGCAGATTAAACCACGTTGCAATACATTGTGATCTTTCTGACAGTCGATTGCCCGGAATATCTTGATCTTAACGGCAAAACGTAGTAAATTTGACTTGATGAAACTAACAGGGTAATTAACAAAGAACAAGAATAACCGTGGAACCAACACCAACCAGTGGAACAACCCAGTCCACAACAATTGGACTAGAAAATGAACCTCATACTCGAACCTGAAGGCACCGCTGGAAGATGAAGTTTCCGCTCTATTCTAACACAGGATTTTCATCCCCGTATGCCTGCAGCTTTGGAAGAAGGATGCAGAGATCTATGCGGTCGGATGCTTTGAACAAGTCTAGGTAGCTGACAAAATTGCCGGTCCCACTGTCGGCTATCTCGGTTCAACTGCCACGGGCAAGCAGTAGGTCTGTAGTACATGACCGATGCTGATGGTACCCCAGTTGCTCTGGTGCCATGATGTTAGACCCTCAAAGTAGCCCAATTATAGCCTAAGATTTGATTGACTACATCAAATTTGAGAGCACTAGGCAATAGTTGGCTGGCTCTGAACGGTGACCACATTTGATAATCGGGGTAAGGTTATCTTGCTTTCACATGCTCGCAAATTGCAGTTACTACACGGCATCTTTTAAAAAATCAAGTTGATGGTTCAGCTATCCCCATGGCTGTTATCTTCACCGCTTTCGGGGGAAAGCTGTCAACTCCGAGGAAATTATGGGGCGCGACCACT